GATGATCTGAGCATCCGTCTATATGGTCGCTCTATTCCAAATAAGGCCGTGGCCAGGTATCTTTGGATACATTTTGACCGCCGCCTTACATATAACGCACATCTTAAAATGTTACGCGATCGATGCTTTAAATCTCTCAACATACCAAAGTGTGTCTCGCACATCATATGGGACAGACAGAAGCACGCTTATGCTTTTATATCGTTCCCTCGTCCGCTCCAAACTGGATTATGCATGCTTTGTTTATGATGGCGCGTCTGAATCCAGCAAGCATGTTCTTGATACCGTCCACCATACTGCCATTCGCATTGCTACCGGGGCGTTTCGCACATCACCTTCCGTCAGCCTCTTAACGGAGGCACACGAACCACCACTTTCGACGAGGAGGAAAATGCTTGGCATACGTTATGCCTTGAAGCTGCGGCAGTTCCCACTTCACCCGACATATTCTGCAATATTTTCGCGGTTTGCGGTAAGTTCTCTTCGTCATGGGCCGCAGCAGCACGCTTTAACTTTTGGTTCCCGAATGAGAGCGTTATTGCTTGAGAGCGGAATTCCTCTTCGGGGTGTAAGGCAAGTAAGCCACCTGGCTTCTCTTCCTTGGCAAATGACGACACCCTTCACTGACACCTCGCTTACGGAAATTAGGAAAAAAGACGTCACACCACACCTTTTGAGATCCAGGGCAGCTGAGCTTTTGGCGTGTTGCGAAGGATATACCCTGACATACACAGACTGATCCAAAACCTCGGATGGCGTGGGTTGTGTTTTCGTCAGCGGTTCCGTCACTCGATCGTTCTCGTTACCGGCCCACTCGTCAGTTTTTACGGCGGAATTAGTTGCAATCACCAAGGCGATATGTTTCATAGAAGTGGGTGAAGGATCTTCACACGCCATTTTTACAGATTCACTGAGCAGTCTCTCTGCACTGAAGTCTTTTTATCCATCATGTCCCCTTTTACAGGACATTTTATCACGCCTGACACAATTTAATCGGGTTGGAAAGAGAGTTGCGCTGTGCTGGATCCCTAGTCACGTCGGTATCGTGGGCAACGAACTGGTTGATGCCGCTGCTAAGCGAGCAGCGGTAGCACCATATACCCGGTTTTTGCCTATCCCTGCCAGAGATTTTTACCCGGCAGTCAAGACCTTCCTGAGAAGCAAATTGCAGCGTTGTTGGGACCAGGTGCGTGACAATAAGCTCAGGGCGATAAAGACAGAGTTGGGCTTGTGGTCGTCATGCTCTCGCAGTGTGTGGTGGAAAGAGATGGTTTTATGCAGGCTGCGCATTGGGCATACTTATGCCACCCATGGCCATCTGTTGCATGGAGTCGACAGACCCCTATGCCAGCGGTGTGGTGCCGTCCTCACTGTCCATCATGTCATTATATCATGTCCATGCCTCATCGAAGAACGACGACGTCACTTTGGTTCACAGGCTTCGACCCTAACGATTGACGATGTGCTTGGTGACAGTTCCTCCTTTCTTAATCCCAAACAGCTCCTTTCGTTTTTAAAAGATATTGATTTTCAAGTCATTTTCACACCGTACTAATTAAGTAACAGCATAGTTATGGGCGCAAAATGACCACTGCAGTCGACGCGCCCGAAAACTCCAATGAACAACAACAGACCAGGTCATTTGTTCGACATCAGCCTCCGCACCCGGTCTGGCGCGACCGCATGACAGACAGACAGTCGCACCAGTCTGGCACCAGTCATGACAGACAGACAGTCGCACCAGTCTGGCACCAGTCATGACAGACAGACAGTCGCACCAGTCTGGCACCAGTCATGACAGACAGGCAGTCGCACCAGTCTGGCACCAGTCATGACAGACAGACAGTCGCACCAGTCTGGCACCAGTCATGACAGACAGGCAGTCGCACCAGTCTGGCACCAGTCATGACAGACAGACAGTCGCACCAGTCTGGCGCGACCCCCATGACAAGGTGCCTACCTCCCTCAGACCTTGGTGCCTTAGGAAGCGTCGCTTAAAGGGAGAGCACCGCTGCGTCGGGTCGAAGTAAAACTCTTCACTTCGTGACGTCACTAGATCACGCGAATCCGACTTGTACTGCAAACCAGTTCTATGAAAGTCTTTCTTGGTACTGGAATCTTTCTTGTTGGAGTACGTAACTATTTCATCGGATTTTCCTTTTACAATTCTTGCACACTACCACTCGAAAAAATAGGTATTGCTCACAAAATTCATTGTGTTTTGATCTTCCTGCCATGAAACTCTGCTCAGTGGACCTTCCCAGTAAATTACCTTCCTTACAAATCGTACGAGAACTTGAAATGGCAATTTTGTTACAATCCAGGATGCAAAACATTGCTTCCCAGCTGTAAACTTGGCGCCTTACGTCTCGGTGCTTGCACTGAATACACCCAGGTGGGAATGTGGATTACATTCACACATGGGTGTAGCCACCGGCGGGGTATGACACTCCCGTCCCGATTTCCCCTGGAAGTATTTCATATCCGCTCTAATTCGCCCACGCGTTTATGACATCTTCTTATTTGATATGCCATTTTCAGGTCAGATTGTCCCACCCAGATTGCAGATTAGTCCTCTTATGATGGCATGTTCCGCCAGTCTCAGAGACGTGGATACGCCCATACAGAGTCACAAGCATCAAAGCCCGGCCGCCTCGCGCGCCGCGACTTTGTAGCATCCCCCCCCAAACTAATGAGCTAATCACACAAACTAATGAGCTAAGCACCGGTAGATTTGTGGCTGCCGGCTTCCGCCATGCTGGAAGGAAAACAATGTTGTTGGCAGCACATTCAGTTTTGTATACCTGATATTTATTCAACACGTATTTCTTATCGTGTGCTTTACGCGACTAAGGTAAACTTCCCAGCATAGCGAGCAGTAAAGGTCAAGCTTGCCCCTGGCCACTGTCATCGTGACCTGTTTTCCACCTACACCGACCGTAGCGCCATCGCGCGGCCGTAAACAGCACCTGAAATAACAGTCCGTCCCGCCGCCGAATACAATGTCTTAGAATACAGCTGCCACAGAAAAAACGGTTGGAAGCTAACTCTGTCAGAACCATCAACAAAATGCCCAGAGTGGGAGAGTCTGTAGCTGGCCGTGGCTGGGGGGGGGGGGGGGGGGGGGGGGGGAGGAGTGGCCGTTTCAACCCGCGCAGTTGGCGAAGTGGTTACCATTCGGTTCACCATCTGGGGCACGCCACCATAAAATTTATTCACTAATTTGAAAAATAAAACCCTTTTTTGAATCTCCTTCAAATCGACCTATAAGGCTGTCGTAGGCCTGGACACAAGCTGTAACAACGAAAAAATCCGGAAAACGGATTCCGATATATAGTCCCGGGCAATTGGCATAGGCCACTTTGAGGGTACTTCTTTGACAGTCTGTCATTCCTAAACTGTCAAGCTAATGATGTTGAAAATCCTACGTCATTGCAATTGCCGTGATTCTAGACATGTATTAAGATGGCCTCCTTACAACAATTATACATGTGATGCTCTTTAAGCAGGTTGTATGTTGATGAATTTTCAGTCACACCTTGCTGACAAGTCAAAAATCCGAACATAAGGTGGACACCAGATTCTAGCCAGCGTTGAAAGCAGTTTCCCCTCAGCATTCACGTGATAAGATGGCACACATTTCTCACACTTTGTCTGATCAAAATTACAGTAAATCACGGACGATAAAGCAAATTAGCTTCGTAACGTGCTCTATCGTTGCTTTATTTATTTTTAAAACATGCGCAAACTGAAACCATGAGTAAATAGAAATACGTAAATCGTGGAGAATAACGTAGTCCTTATCGGTGTAAGGTTTATGTGTTTTATCGCTCATGATTTATTGTAATTTTGTCCGGGTAAAGTTTTGGGAAATGTGTCCCATCTTCTCATGTGAATGCTGGAAAGAAACCGCTCTCAACGCTAGTTAAAATCCGGTGTTCACCTTATGTTTGAAATTTTTACTCTGTTAGCGGGGTCTGTGACCGGAAATTCATCAAAAATACAACTTACTTAAGAAGCATCACTATATAATTATTGTAAGGGGTCATCTTAACTCCATTTTAGTACTAGTCATGCCTTACATTGTGCAAGCATCATACCATCCTAGAAAATTTTATCTATATCGGAAATTTACTTATTTAGATTTTATACGTGACTTTATGAAATAATTTTTACAGTGACCTTGACCTGTTAGCAAGTAAGTGCTGGATTTTTGTATGAGCTTTTCCCTGCTTTCAAGCAACGAAACAAAAAGCATGGGTCTCGTTTTGAAAATGTTTCTGTTTTTGAGTTCCAAGAGAGTTCTAAAAAAGTTCCAAAGTCATTTCACCAACACAACTATCACTGGCTTCACCGGCGACTGTGACCCTCGACCACTTTGACCTCTCCGCTTTTGCGATCTTTTGATAGCTAATGTGCTCTGATCACGGTCCAGTTCACCGGCCAGAATCAGCGCCATCTCATCATCATCATCATCAGTGTCCTTTTTAGGTCACCGCGCTGGCGAAGTGGCCGCTGACGTCCACCGCAGCCTTCGCCACATCTTCCTTCAACACGCAGGTACCGGAATCTGACCGCGGGTGCAAACTTGTGTGAGGAGCGCGAACACATGTTCGGCTGTGAGGGTCTGTTTCCTTCGGAGGTGCGCCGGGTGCTCTCGCGGCAAGAGCCGGGCCATGTGGCCGTCTGCCAAGCATTCTCAGCGAAGCGGGGCATTAACGGGAAGTACCAGGGTTACGATGGGGAAAGGTCTCATTTAGCGTAGGAAAAACACGTTAGTGGGTCCGTGCGAAGCCAGTTTGTCCAGCACCATCCTCGGATGGCACTACCGATTTCTGCGTACGCACATCAACGTAAAACTTCCCGTTCGCTTGATGCAGTGGGATGTAATGCAAGCAACCTTTCTCAGAATGTGCCAATTCCGTGGGTTTGCAGTACTTCACACTGAAGCGCCGTTTGATAATCTAGTGGTCGAATGTTCTGGATAAAAATACAGCGCCTATTCGCCTACGTTGATCGTGTATTGCATACAAGCTCGTCCGATGAGACCATGACACCTTGACACAGAACATTTCAGTCATGTCAACAGAGTCTATACCTGCAGTAGCCAAGCGGTGCCATCGTTAGTAAGTCACGTGACAGACAACGTCATCACATTCGCTGTCCCGTGGCAAGGATCAGCGCATTAACCCCGCGTGTCGGCGCCCTGCGTGGCGTTGAGAACCGCAGTGCAAATCATTCTTCAAAGTCAAAGCACGACCACAGGCAAGCCTACAGTTTCAAAAACGTCCCCATAATGAAAGCTCTGAACATTTTGTGAAACGTCTAAAAATATTACATCATGTTATAAAGATATCGAGGAAAGCGATTATGTCCCGACGCCAATCAATCACGCTGGAAATGGCTGTCAGCAGCCGGACAGATGTGAAGCGAACAGAATATTACCAAGTCATGAGTAGTCACATTGTAATCGACGGCAGCGACAGCTACTTTCGTGAGCCCTATAGCGACCAGGCGTCGGCTGTCAGTCATCGTCACCCGGCGTCAGCACTCAGCGCTCCCCGGTGGACGGGGGCAAGGGGGGGGGGGTTAGCGGCACAGCCTGGCCGTCACCCACTGGTTGACGTCCCTCTCCGCGGGGAAGGGGCAACGGCACAGCCCGGCCGTCACCCACTGGCTGACGTCGCTCTCGGCGGGAGGGGGCAGCGGCACAGCCAGGCCGTCACCCACTGGCTGACGTCGCTCTCCGCGGTAGCCCTGGCCGCTGGCGTCGCCCGTGGTCTTCAGCTCGACGGCTGCCGCCCGCTCCTGTGCAGGGCCGCCCTGCTGGCCGCGGCAGTCGCCCGCCGAGCTCAGTACAGGGCCTGCTCCTGCACGCTGCCTTCATCCTGCGGCAGCTCGGCCCCGAAGAGGGGGTTGCACGTGGCTCCACCGTCGCTGCCGAACGGCGAGGCGCCAACGCCGACGTCGCCGCCGAACGGCGAGGCGCCAACGCCGGCGTCGCCGAACTCTTCGTCGGCCTCGAACTGTGGCATGTGGTAGGGGCTGTCGACGTCAAAGACGGCCGACGCCGGCGGCGTCACGGGCGCGGATGGCGCCAGCCGTTTGGCGGCCTGATCGCCAAACCCAGCGTCAGAGGCGGCCGACGCCGGCGGCGCCACAGGCGCGGATGGCGCCGGTCGTTTGGCGGCCGGACCGCCAAACTCAGCAGCATCCTCGACGCCGATCAGCACCGAATCGCCGCTGGAGACGCTGCAGGGAGGGGCATCAGAGGTCAGAGGTCAGGGGTCATCAGAGGTCAGCCTGGAGAGGGCTGGTCCCGGAGGCGAGGTTAGGTCAGGGAGGCGGGGCGCCTGCTGACGATGCACTGTCCGGTGACGTGCCAGCGCCACAATAAGACTCTTCGCAAGACCCTCGTTCAGGCTGGTGCTTGGATAGCTTAGGGCTAGTCTCGGATAACTCAACGTTAGGTCTGAATTGTTTAGCTTTAGTTTGAACTGTTTAAGGGTGAGTTGGCATTGTCGAGGGTTAGTTTCGGTTGGTTGGCTTTCGTTTCTAGCAGTTTAACGCTAGTTTTAGACATTTCAGCGCTGGTGAGCTGACAAGCAGGCGTGTTGAGCGCTGCAAGACGGTTCGGTCAGCTGAGCCAATACCAGTTCAAGCGCTCGTTGAAAAGTGCCATCTCCCTACGACCTTTGCAATGCGTGTAAAGCCTACAGCAGCAGCCATGCAGCAGCAGCTTTGATCTACAAGCGCTCAGCCTTCGGATCGCGAACCTGCCAGCAGGCGATCTCCGTGGTGCAGTGCGGCAAGGAGCGCCCCCCCTCCCGAACGCCCCCCTTCCCTTTGGAAAACGTAAGCCGGTTACTGATACATGCTTTTGACGACGAGGTAGCGGCTACGGATACACGCTTTTGACGGCGAGGTAGCGGCGAGCGTTCGGGCAGGAGTGTGCTGACCTCTCGGCGTCCGGGTTCTGCCTCTCGTCCAGCGTGAAGATGGGGTTGGCGCCCTGGTTGGCGAACATGTTGGAGCCGGGTACGGCGAGGCCGGCGTTCTGCATGCCTGACTCTTTGGAGCCGAAGGCGTTTATGGAGAGCGCCTTCACCTGTCGCCTGAGCCTGCCGGGCGTCACGCGCAGGCGTCACGTCACGCGACACACAGACGTCGGACACTGGCACAGTCTGGCCATCGACGCCAGCTGGACCTTTCGGGGGGTAATCTCATGGAAAGCACAGGCGGTAGGGGGAGTCTCCCGGCAAAGGCCGCTGGAGGTGTCACCAATCCATGTCAACAAAAGTCAAGCTTGCACCTTTTAATCTATAGACACAAGTATGAGTAAGTAAGAGAGGCCTTAAGCTCCTAGCTTTAGCCCTTTTGGGTTGTCTTTGGTATCGTCAGTAATTCACCGAAGTTCAATACACCGGGCAGTACTGGTCACAATACAACTATAATAAATCATTGAAGAATATGGCGACGTTTCGTCCGCAGTGGTGGACGCCAGCTGTAATGCCCTGTTGCGACTGCTTTTGGAGCACCCGACTCCAAAATGCATCAAAATCTCTGCTGGAAACCTCGGTTAAGAGAAACCATGGCACAGTTACCTCCGGAAAACCATAGCGCAGTTACTTCCGGAAATCCATAGCATAGTTACCTCAGATAGGTCTATTTTACCTCGTATAGCAATTAGGTGTGAAATATGATAGAAAAATGACATCAGCATATATATATATATATATATATATATATATATACACATAAAGCTATATTAGTGATCAGTGAATAAACCAGCAAATAGGCCCAAAACACTACCAAGCTAAAACGGCTCGTGCAGACGGTGGCCGTAGGCACTGCATACAACACACCTTGCCAGGTTTTTTTCTAATGTGAGGGGCCAACTAACATGGCAACGGATCGCTCACGCCGCCATCGGCTCGCTGCGAGCGGCCCTCGCTCGTCCGCTGCCCGCCTCCGGGTCTCACTTGGTTGTTTTAATGCAGGCGGTGATGAGCGTCAGCGCCAGTAGCCCGCCGAGGACCGAGGCCACGACGATCAGCAGCATCTGGAACAGCGTGTCCTGCTCCGGCAGCGGCGCCACCTTGGTGTCTCCAATATGGGTGAGGTTGAGGTCAATGGCCGAGAAGTCCTCAATCAGCGTCCTACTGACGTCTCCCTGATACTGCATGTTGATGATGGTGTCGCGGTCAACGGGGAGCTTGCGCTGCTCGTCGATGAAGTGCGTCGTCACGTCAGTTGAGGTGCTGTCCGACGTGGTCAGCACCGTCTCGATGTTGGCCGTGTAGCCGAACACCTTCGACAGGATCTGTCGCACCTTCTCCTGCTGCGACTGCGGACAGCCGAGAGACGGAGGGACGCGTCAGACGGGACAGCCGAGAGACGGAGGGACGCGTCAGACGGGACAGCCGAGAGACGGAGGGACGCGTCAGACGGGACAGCCGAGAGACGGAGGGACGCGTCAGACGGGACAGCCGAGAGACGGAGGGACGCGTCAGACGGGACAGCCGAGAGACGGAGGGACGCGTCAGACGGGACAGCCGAGAGACGGAGGGACGCGTCAGACGGGACAGCCGAGAGACGGAGGGACGCGTCAGACGGGACAGCCGAGAGACGGAGGGACACGTCGGACGGGACAGCCGAGAGACGGAGGGATGCGTCAGACGGGACAACCGAGAGATGGAGGGACACGTCGGACGGGACAGCCGAGAGACGGAGGGATGCGTCAGACGGGACAACCGAGAGATGGAGGGACACGTCGGACGGGACAGCCGAGAGACGGAGGGATGCGTCAGACGGGACGCGACCGTGCCGGGGGGGGGGGGGAGGAGGAGGGGAGGGGGCGGCGCGCAGCTGCTGAGGGTGCGGCACCGGCAGCGCTGACTCTCGAGCGCTGGAGACGCTGCCCGGACCGGCGGCGTCCGGTGCCCGCTCTGACTTTGACCGCGCATATGAACTTACCAGCCCATTGGCAGCTGGAGAGGAGAATGAAGTGCCGCCAAGTTAAGCAAACGAAGACCATTTCGCATCCCGTGATACCACTATTCTCTGTGCACAAGCCAGAGATGTGAACAAACTTCCCCTGGGGGTGGGGAGGGGGGAGGAGAGGCAATGCAATTTTCTCGAAAGCCCTGCGAATGTTCACTAAATTTCTGCGACATCACCGAGCATCTAGACTCAACGCCGTCAGTAGCTCACCGTCACGAAGGCCGCCGCATTGGCAAAGATGAACTTGACGCGGTTCTCCTCAGTGATGATAAACACGCGCACGACGGTTTCGCTGCTGTGATCCTTCAGGTCTGTGGCCGACGCCGTGAATTCGAAGTAGCCGTTCATCTTGCTGTCCACGTCGAAGTTGAGCAGCAGCTTGCCGGTGTCTGGCTCGAGCACAAACGGCTGCGTGGTGTTGGCCACCGGCTCGATGCTGGGGTCGCTGGCTGTGATAGCACCCTCGATGCGGTAGCTGGTCGTGTCGTTGAGGTCTGGGTCGATCGCGCTTAGCGCCACAATCACCACCTTCTTCTCGTCGCCGGCGGCGATGCCGCCCATGGTGCTGCCGCTGAAGGTCGGCGTGTTGTCGTTCATATCCTGCACGGTCACGTTCAGCAGGAGGGTACTCTTGTCGCTGGCGTCGAATTCAGCCACGTCGCCCGGGTAGGTGTTATTGCGGCTGGTTGCGAGGATGAGAAGGTAGCTGGGCTGTTTCTCGCGGTCCAGCTGCCTAGTCGTGCGGAGCTGCGGCACTGGCGCATCATGATTCACCAGTTCGAACGTGTCCTTGGCGCCCCCCACCAGGAAAAAGAACATGATGTCCGTGTCGTCGGCGTCGGTGGCCTTCGTCGTAACGTCAAGTGTTACGCTACCAGCCGCCTGATTTTCCTTGAAGCGTGCGTCGTAGTTGACGTTGTCGTCCGGGAAGCGCGGCGCAAACTCGTCGACGTCCTTGACGGTGACGTGGAGGTGGGTGGTGGCGGCCAGGCCGCCGTCTTCCCCGCGGTCGCGCGCCTCCACCACAAGCGTGTACTCGTAGCCTGCCGGGCTCTCTCGGTCAACCTTGCTCTTCAGGCAGACCACACCGCTGCTTGGAATCACCTGCGGAGTGAGGGGGGCAGAACGGGGGGGGGGGGGGGGCGATCAGACAGGCGTTAGCCCCTGCGCGGCCGGCTCGCCGGCGCCGGCGGCGAGGATGATGGCGCCCAGGGCGTGGCGAGGCTCGAGCTCAAGGGAGCGCTTGGGGGCATGAGGAACCGGCGGCGAGGATGATGGGCGCCCAGGGCGTGGCGAGGCTTGAGCTCAAGGGAGCGCTTGGGGACATGAGGAGCCGGCGGCGAGGATGATGGGCGCCAGGGCGTGACGAGGCTTGAGCTCAAGGGAGCGCTTGGGGACATGGGGACCATTGGCGCGAGATTGACATGACGTGACATGACCAGACATGACATATTGACTGGCTGATCACAGCTCTCCGCTTTCGTGAACGTTGACACTAACCGGCGTTGAGCCGCAGTTTTGTTCATCACACCTTCACAGTGTTCGAGCGCTTCTCTACCTACGGAAAATAGACGGTCGAAAACCGCTTGAGATTTTTGTAGTCTTTTAAGCTTTTTGCGAGTTATGGATGCCCTTATCCTGCATTGCAAGCTGTTGCAAACTTTACTACGCCAGTGGTTGCCGAGAGCAGGCGGCCCACCGATCGGCACCCGTCTTGACGCTCACGTCGAATATGTTGGTAGCGCCCTCTGGGGTGGAGCTCTGCAGCAAGCTGTACTGTAGCTTGGAGTTTTGCGTTTTCGGAATGTCTGGGTCTTTGGCCACCACAACCAGTTCGGTGCCGTTCGTCAGCACGATGGGCATCAGGTGCTGCGAGCCGTTGTAACTGTTCTCCCAGATACCCAAGCTGAAGCCGTCCGCAGGCGAGACAAACTCGGGTGGGTCGTTCACGTCATCCACTTGCACCTGCAGGCAGGAAGCGTGACGTCAGGACGGCGCCGGCCGCTGGGCCCTCGCTTGTCAACGCATTGTACGCATTGACGTACAATGCGTTGACAAGCTTCGCTTGGCAACGCAAGTATTGACGTATGTATAGTACCGCTGCTGCTCGCCGGGTGGTGTATTACCAAGCAAAGCTTGCTAACCGAATGCTTCCACTCGCGACTTCGGAGAGTCCTGGGCCTACATTAGACGCGCGAAACATGCGACACATGGCTGAGCAGAGCAACATGCGTACGGCGGCTGGGGGCGGCTGCGGACCGCCGGCCACCGGTCTTCACCGCCGTCGGTCACCTGGTACACGGCGGTGACGTTGTGGAAGGGAGCCTCGCTGTCGGCGGCCCACAGGGTGACGTTATAGGTGCCCCAGCAGCCCTGCAGCGCGTGGCTGGACAGCAGCTGGGCGGCGTCGCCCTCCGTGCCGGCTGTGAAGAGGTCAGTGCGCTGGCAGCCGCTGCGCACGGCCACCGTCTCGGCCAGGCCGTACTGCAGCTTGGCGGCCGGCGTGTCACGAGCGTCGGCGTCGGTCGCCGTCACCGTCGCCAGGAACACGTGCTCCCGCGTGGTCTCCGGCACCTTGGCCAGGTCGCCGGACGGCGCCGGGAACACCGGCGGCTGGTCGTTGATGTCGAGCACGCGCACGCGCAGGTAGCCGTCGATGGTGTGGCGGCAGCGGCCGGCCGTGTCGCAGTTGTCACCAGCCTGCACGCGCACCGTCAGCACGTAGTCGGACTCTGGCAGCGCCTCACGGTCCAGCACACCGTTGACGCGGACCTCGCCGCTGATGGCGTCGACGGTGATGTTGTCGGAGCTCTCCTTGCTGACGCTGTAGGTGACGTTGCTGAAGGGCGTGCCTGCGGTGTGGACACATGCCGTTACAGCCAGCGATCGGTAGGGGCCAGAGGTCGCCGGGCCGATAGGAGAAGATCTGCTGCCCATTAGAACACTTCGCAGATTGGCTATATCCAGGAGATTTGAGTCCATCCCCTAGATTTGCCCGGACTTGACCTGGAAGGCTACGAGAACAAGGATTAGGGCTAAACGTGGTTCTGTACATGGATCGGAACGAACTGATGGGAGCGGATTGCAGCAACCGATGTAGTTTTAACCCGAAGTAACTGAGCCAACATCTACCAAATGCAGCGCAGTATGTTGACGAAACAAATAGCCGTGCGCGACTATCTTCAGAATTTCTTTGCAGTGCGGCATTGCAGCCGGTTTTGGAAATTGCGCAAAGTACGCTTGATGCCTAGGTTTGCTTTCATATTGAGGGCTTGCGCGAGACGGGATTCTGTCTTAGAAAATAGTCGCTTATGGTGCCTAGAATCGGAGGACCGAACTGAAAGTGTCATAAGTTGACTCCGTAAGTTGACTCCGTTGACTCCGTTGACTCCGTTGACTCCGTAAGTTGCCATAAGTTGACTCCGTCTGGATCTGCAGGCTGCATGCACGGCGACATTTTGCTGAACAGCATTACTATAGAACAGCATTACTATAGACGGATGTGATGCATATGCATCACATAATGCTGAACTATGCATAATGCTGAACAGCATTACCATAGAACAGCGCCGCGTGGAGAACAGGCAGCACCTGAGACGGACATTAGCAAACCTGCTAGGTCATTGTCTGTGGCTTGAAGCGTTGTAATAAGCTTGTTGGGGGTGCCCTGCTCCGAGACGTTGAGCAGCAGTGTGCTCGGGTCGACCTTCCATACCGGCGGACAGTCGTTCTGGTCCAGCACGGCGATGGTTATCTGAGGTCACGCGGGTCAAATGGGGTCAGCCAGGCTTTAGAGGTCAGCCGAGGCCACACCCAAACAGAGCTGCGTAGTTAAGCAGTTTCCCGACTGAGCTGTGCTTTGCAGTAAGATGCATTCGAATCCATACACGGTGATCAACGCTGCGCATCTGTAGCAAACTATTAGCGAGCTTCCGTTGTAGCCAGGCCGCGCGCCCATTTTGCGGCGGCTGCGGCTAGTTTCCGCACCTTGATCGAGCTGTTTTTGGGAGGCACGCCAGAGTCGGTGGCCGTAACGGTGAGCTCGATCTGCGAGTGCTTCTCCCGGTCGATGTTGTCGATCACTGACAGCTGGCCGTTCCCCTCGCCTATCGCCACCAGACTGGTGAAGGCCGGGTTACCACTGCGGCGACAGAGGGCGGTACGGTGACGGCGTGACCTGCTGATCTGCCGATGCTCGGCTGCAGGGCCCGGCGCCCGTCTGGATGCAGGGCCCGGCGCCTGCTCGGCTGCAGGGGCCGGCGCCTGTCCGACTGCAGGGCCCGACACCCGTCCGAATGCAGGGCCCGGCGCCTGTCCGACTGCAGGGCCCGACACCCGTCCGAATGCAGGGCCCGGCACCTGCTCGGCTGCAGGGGCCGGCGCCTGTCCGACTGCAGGGCCCGGCGCCCGTTCGGCTGCAGGGGCCGGCGCCTGTCCGACTGCAGGGCCCGGCGCCCGTTCGGCTGCAGGGGCCCGGCCCGGCGCCTGTCCGGCTGCGGGGCTGCCCATCACCGCTACTGCGCCCTACGGGAGCACTTCTAACGCTCAACGACACAAGGAGGCTAGTGTATTGGCGCTGAGGGGAATCATTCTGTGGCTGGTAACGCTCAACGACACAAGGAGGCTAGTGTATTGGCGCTGAGGGGAATCATTCTGTGGCTGGTAGCGCTCAACGACACAAGGAGGCTAGTGTATTGGCGCTGAGGGGAATTATTCTGTGGCTGGTAACGCTCAACGACACAAGGAGGCTAGTGTATTGGCGCTGGGGGGAATTCATTCTGCGGTTGGTAACGCTCAACGACACAAGGAGGCTAGTGTATTGGCGCTGAAGGGAATCATTCTGTGGCTGGTAACGCTCAACGACACAAGGAGGCTAGTGTATTGGCGCTGAGGGGAATCATTCTGTGGTTGGTCCAGCTGAGATTCACGTCGCGCTGAACGCGTGTCTGGGGGAAGTCGGTCATTTTGGGCTCAGCATGCAGTTTTTAGGAGGCCAGAACACCCCGTTGTTGAGTTGGTGCGTTCATCGTGACGACGTCTTATTTCACCGCGGCACAGCCGAGGGCTGAGCACAAATATGCCAGTATTCTGATCTTGAGAGCCTGTGGCGTCCGAACAGTGTTTTTAGTACGTAATTTGTAGTACATTCTTGGGAAGCAAAATTGCACGGTAAATAATGTTTTGTGGGCTTAACCTTCCCTCCCCTCCCCCGTGTTAATTTTACTGGTAGATGACGTCGTTGTTGTGGTACCGTCAACGAACCAACGTCCGAGTGGTACCCCGCCATGACTCACTCTAGCCGGTAAGTGATGGTGTTGTCCTTATCCGAGTCTTCCGCCAGAACGGTGAAGATGACTGACGTGTCCGGCACGTTCTCCGTCACGTTCATCTCCGTGGTGTTGTTGACATTGATGAAGGTCGGGTAATTGTCATTCTCGTCCAGGATGGTGACGGTGACCGTGCCTGCGGTGGACACGAGAGATGACACATACAGTAGCACGGCCGCCGGCGGTGTCCCTCGCTCCCAGCTGGCTGGGGCGCAACAGCCCCCGGCGGGGAGGGCCGCATGGCAGGCACAGGATTGCAAACATGTGTGGTAGGCGATTAACGAAGGCAAAAAGGGTTATGAGTACCTTCTTTGTTACGTCGGGCCCCGAGAAGGGGGCCAGCGGAAGAGTGACGCAGTGCACGTACCTTCACGCCCTCGCACGACATTCCTAAAAAAATGTGTATCGCCATACCACATGACGCAATACACGCATTGCTGCCAGCGGGGCCCCGGCTCAAGGCCTCTCTCAAGGCCTCTCTCAAGGCTCTCTCAAGGCTGGCTCAAGGCCTCTCCGCTCCCCTCTCTCTGAAGAGGTGAGCAGCGCCGGCCGAGCAACATTCCGGTCCACCCGAGCTGAGTTGTCGAGTCGAGTGATTAAACGGCGCCGTTGTGTTCACCTGTGGCACTTTTCGTGCCCGAGACGGTCTTTTCGTCGGTCACGACGACACTGAGCTGGATGGAGTCCATCTTCTCGCGGTCGGGTGCCTCGCCCGTGACGCTGAGTGTTCCCGTCGCGCCCCCGGGCGGCGCAGCCTGGGTGCCGATGTGGAAGCACCTGCCGCAAGGAACCGTTACAGGGCGGCGCCGAGGCGGCCGGGCGAGAGCGGCGCCAGCGGGCACCCGTGGCCCGAGCGGGGCCACTGTCGGCCGGCGGGCACCCGTGGCCTCGGCGAGCGGGGCCACTGTCAACCGGCGGGCACCCGTGGCCCGGGCGGGGCCACTGTCAGCCGGCGGGCACCCGTGGCCTCGGCGAGCGGGGCTACTGTCAGCCGGCGGGTACCCGTGGCCTCGGCAAGCGGGGCCACTGTCAACCGGCGGGCACCCGTGGCCTCGGCAAGCGGGGCCACTGTCAACCGGCGGGCACCCGTGGCCTCGGCAAGCGGGGCCACTGTCAACCGGCGGGCACCCGTGGGCCGAGCGGGGCCACTGTCAGCCGGCGGGCACCCGTGGCCTCGGCGAGCGGGGCCACTGTCAACCGGCGGGCACCCGTGGCCTCGGTGAGTGGAGTCATCATCAGCGGTGAAAAGGGCAGCTGTGAGCGACGAGCGCAGGTGATGTTAGCATTGTCAGCACTTGTGTGACACATGACTCACCGAGAGGGCTGGGTGACGATGTGAGAGAGTGAGCTCAGGTGGGGTGCTACGCCTTTTCTCACAAGCTGGCTCGTCGCTGCGATTTTGGTGAAATGTCAGCTGGTTCAAGGACACCAGCAAAGGTCTGTATGTGAACATTCTAAGAAAGCTCACTCACTGGATCCTTTTCCTTTAAGATTTTTGTTCGGACGAAAAAATATTCGGGTATCGCTATGAGCTCACTTTGTGAAGTCGTAGTCGTCCTTCGCCACCTCTTTTCCATCCTTGTAGGCCTTCGTGTTGCTCCAGTCGATGGAAAATGTCAGCTCAGCATCAGTATCTACGTCCTTTCCTTCTATATCTGGCGTGAGCTTAACATTCTCCTTGTTTTCTTTCACTGAACAGCTCAGTGAAGGCTGGAGCAAAGCAAGGACATAGACAAAGTTATGAGACTGGCGATGTCTGGCTGCCAGGAAGGGGATGGACAAGGGTAAGAAATTATTGACATGAATAAATGAAATCAATTGTTACAGTGTTTATCAAATGCGGCCTTGCATCCGGCCTTGTTCTTCCATAAATAAGCTTTTCCACTCAATTCGCGAACAAAAACGCATGCATTTCGTTGGCCACGTGGTTCTACTCTCTGCTGCCGTGTAGCAGCAAACCTGACATGACCTATCATAAACCCTAACAAAACATATCATGCACCGAAAATTGCTTCTGATACCAGTTGCAAAAGTTGCAGAAGCGCGCAAAGGGAAGTGTCAAATATTGAATTCTTGAAAACGGCCGTCTTCACAAAAGATTACAATGCAAAAGCCATCAAGGTTTATTAAAAATTTGTATCGCTCATTTTCTAAGGACACATATTGCACGAAAGGTGTTGGTTTTTAAATATTTTTGGGCAGAAACGCTTGGTAGATGTTTTAAAGCGTGTTTACAAACGCTCAATATTTTGATAGAATCGTAGTTTGCTGGTTATTAGCAAGATTATGCTCGTGCGGCCTGCTTTACTGTCATATCTCTTCCCACCAAACTTCTCGAAACTTTTGAGAGATTTGCTGGCACATCTGCTGCATACGCAACAAAACATAATTTTACGTCCTGGTCACGTCCTTGCTCACGGGTGCGCAGATTTTAAGAGATAACATGCCAAAACAAGATTCGCGATGAATGAGCCTGGCCTTTAATGACTGTCAAGTCCAGCCTTGTTCCACAAGACGCCGATTCAAACAGTAACAACGCGGCCACCATACAAGGCTCTCGACCGATCCACAGGTTTCCATGTCTGACATTGTCCTAGAACTGGGATGAACTAAACGCATGGACTGAAAAGCGTCTATAAAGAGCTTCACATCGCGCCATAAGCTTACTCTTGAGGTCGATTAGCATGGCTTTGCTAGTGAATGCCAATGGAACTGCCCGCGGACCACCATGTCTTTGTCAAAGTGCCTAGCAGGGAGTAAAAAACCGTGAAAAGATTCAAAGGCCTTTTTAAGAAATGTTAATGCCTCACTCTGTCATGAAAATGCCTATCATTCAGCTTGGGAGTACACAAACATATGCGATTTGAAGCTTAATTAACACGCATTTTCGGTAACAAGAGGCCAATTTCAACAGCCGCTACAGTGCCATTGACATCCAGAGTAGTACATCACTTGGCTTCTGAATTAACCACCCGGATGATGACGAGCACTTGCACTAGAAAAAAAACAGGGCCGGGCACGTGTCGTGATCGCTGGAGGCGTATCGTCGATGTCTTCGATGTTAATGGTCAGCTCTGCAGAGCCGGGCACGTACCGTGATTGTTGGAGGCGTATCGTCGATGTCCTCGATGTTAATGGTCAGCTCTGCAGAGCCGGGCACGTACCGTGATCGTTGGAGGCGTATCGTCGACGTCCTCGATGTTAATGGTCAGCTCTACAGAGCCGGGCACGTACCGTGATCGTTGGAGGCGTATCGTCGACGTCCTCGATGTTAATGGTCAGCTCTACTGAGGATGTCCGGGATTTGTTGCCACCATCGACAGCGCGAATTGTGTACTTCACGGAATGCTCTGGTGAAAGCAGAACAAAGGTGCAGAGTCAGATCATATTCACACGGGACAGTGCATGCAGTCACACGGACAGTGTATGCAGTCACAGGCACAGTGTATGCAGTCACAGCCACAGTGTATGCAGTCACAGGGACATTGTGCATACACATCACCGCATATGTTCGTCGGCGGTTTGAGAAGCGTTGCCTACTTATATTTAAAGTTAGTTTGACGGTAGGGATTTAACGCTGATTTTGGATAATTAAATGGTGCTTCCTTAGGAGCAATTCAGAATGGGAAATTAAGGTCATAACTGACATGTCCGACGGTCAAGTAAAAGTGAAATGTGTTTTGCAGTGCGTGCTTCTATTAGCAACGTCACCATGGTGCCCCGCGCAGACGCTGCGCGACGTTATGAAATGCTTGCTGAGCTAGTCGTTCCCGTCCACACCCATCGGAGGCTGTAAGTGGTTGATGTTAACCATTGCGAGGGTGTCAGAGCTGAAGAGAACGCGGCCGTTCGAGCATTTCTTAAGAAAGAGCTGGCCACATAATCAAAAGTTCTTGAGCGCGGTGGAGTCTGCGCTAGGTCTCATAATCAAAAGTTCTTGAGCGCGGTGGAGTTTGCGCTAAGTCACATAATCAAAAGTTACTGAGTGCGGTGGAGTTTACGCCAGGTCACATAATCAAAAGTTATTGAGTGCGGTGGAGTTTACGCCAGGTCACATAATCAAAAGTTCTTGAGTGCGGTGGAGTTTGCGCCAGGTTGGTGGACCCCAAGCTGACTGGGGAGGTGCAGGCTGGGTGGATGCGCATTTCACAAGAGCCCTTGTGCCGCGTGGAAAACGTTGGTGAAGATTCTTACAGAGGAATTGTGATCTCTAACGAAACACGGAGGTTCCGTTATGACCCTCAAAAGCAGGAGAAAGTTAATGGAACACCACCTTAAAGATTTAACGCGGCCGAAACACGTCAGATCACAGCTTTCAACGGGGAGAGACATGCTGACCGCATTTTGGAATTGTCAAGAAATTACACTTTTGGATGTCTTGGAAAGCGGAGATACAGCAAATTCAAAATGTCGCATGAGGTATCCGAGAAACATTGAAAATCGTCTCACGACAGAATGTGAAAACCGGGAGACACTTCTGCAGCACTCCAGGAAGGCAATGTTGCAGCACACCAGTGAGGCAATGCTGCGGCGCAACGGTAAGACAATGCTGCAGTGCACCAGTGAGACAATGCTGCGGCACACAGTGAGACAATGCTGCAGTACATAGTGAGACAATGCTGCGGCACACAGTGAGACAATGCTGCAGTACACAGTGAGACAATGCTGCGGCACACAGTGAGACAATGCTGCAGTACACAGTGAGACAATGCTGCAGTACACAGTGAGACAATGCTGCAGGATGCCAGTGAGACAATGCTGCAGCACGCCAGTGAGACAATACTGCAGTGCACCAGTGAGACAATGCTGCTGCGCGCCAGAGAGACAATGCTGCAGTACACCAGTGAGACAATGCTGCAGTACACCAATGAGACAATGCTGCAGCTCGCCAATGAGACAATGCTGCAGTACACCAGTGAGACAATGCTGCAGCACACCAGTGAGACAATGCTGCAGTACACCTGTGAGACAACGCTGCAGTGCACCAGTGAGAAAATGCTGCAGCACACCATTGAGACAAGGCTGCAGCACTCCAGTGAGACAAAGCTGCAGCACACCAACGCCAGGCCGCTCACCAACAGAACCACGACTGCCGGCATGCAGCGATCAAGGTTCCCCGGAATATCGCTCTTGTTGGTCCCTGGGATAGCTCTGACCCTGCTCCTAGCAAACATCTCTTGTCCCCGAAGCTAAAGGAACTTCCGAAGGGTAAGACTGCTTATCTGATGAAGAGGTAATGTCAGCAGGACGCAGATAGATACGGGAATGGCAGCCTAACTTCTTTGCTGACGAACTCTGTAAACGAGTGACATTTTGGCAGAAATGTATTGCAGTTGTAAGAGACGATGCTGAAAAATCGGTATGCCGATCATTGCATGATGCAGCTACATTTTCATGTTCTTCATGAAAAACGTTTCAAATCGTTTGGCTTGTATTTATGTGAAGATGGAACGGTTCTGCCCACCCTCGTATGGCAACGGATATCCATCAGCACATTCATTGCTACTACGGGGCACCGCAAATGAAATACCTGAAGTTGTTCATCCTTTTCCATTTCAAATGTCCTTTGCGTGGCCCGTGCTTAACCTTAACCTTAAGTCTTCCAGCAGTCTCTACAGTGTAAACTCCCCTTTCCGGCTGCACAAGTAGCGCATGCCGACAAACACATCCATATGCGAGGTGCTGGTTTTTTTTTTTTGGAAGTTCTTGTCAAAAGCCCAAACCAAAATCCAAGGATCAACCTCGCAAAAAAGCTCGAGCGACCCAGGATCGACTTCGCGTTTGTGCAAAAGGTGTCCCAAAAATTGGGTGGCCCAGAATTTTTCATTTCGTAGAAAGGGTTTTTTGTTAAAAAGATGGCAACCGTCGAGCGGAATACAGAAATGATGCGAGCTCCAAACTTTGGGAAAATCGGTTCTCGCGCTCTCATTCCAATTATCAGTCGCGTAGCTTAAGACAAATGTGACTGTACGCGATGAGAGTTTCTATTTCATTTTTCAAAAAGACGTATTTTCTAGTGTGCTGTGTCAGCAAGTTGTTGGCGTTCTGGACTCAATATTTTGAAAGAGCGATACCAAAGAAGTTGAGATGCATATCAATCTGCGCCGCGACGGAATGATATCAGCTGTATAGCAAAATTTCAAGATTTCTGCCGATGTCCGTCCAATTCCCAACCTGGATTTGGAAAATGTTTAAAAGTTGAAAGAGTCGGAATCCAATCGGCACCTCTAATATTTATGTATAGCAGCTTGTGACTTGCCATTTTCATAGTCGAACGGCGGTGTCTCGCTTGCCGACATAGTAATGTCTCCGGTGGTGTCGTCTATTTTGATGGCGTCCGTCTGGGTGCTCCCGACGATCGAGTACCTGCCGGCACGCACATACCGCATGGCTCAAAACGCACGCACTATATCCACAGCAATCACATGCATTCGTGTGCTGCCGAAATGTGTTGCAGTGGTTTGTGCAGCTAGCAAAGGGTGCGATGAGGCGGCTGCAGCCGCTGTGGGCCGCCGCCGGCCGGTGAGTGGGAGTCTTGGTGGCGCCCGCCTCGTCAACGTCACCCCAAGCGGCTGTCAGATCAGACAAACGGGCAGAAGCGCCTGCAAAAAACGGCGTGTGAAACAGCACTGTCCCACTGTCGAAAGAGAGAGAGAGAGAGAGAGAGAGAGAGAGAGAGAGAGAGGAGAGGAGAGAGAGAGAGAGAGAGGGGGAGAGAGAGAGGGAGAGAGGGAGGGAGGGAGAAAGAGAGAGGGTGAGAGGGAGAGAGAGGGAGAGGGGAAGAGAGATAGGGAGGAGAGAGTAGAGAGAGAGAGGGGGGAAGAGAGAGAGGAGAGAAAGGGAGAGAAAGAGGGAGAGAGAGGGAGAGAGTGAGGGAGGTAGAGGGAGGAAGGGAGAGAGAGGAGAGAGGGAGAGAGAGGGGAAGAGAGAGGGGAGAGAGAGGGGAAGAGAGAGGGGGGAGAGATAGGGAGAAAGGGAGAGAGGGAGAGAGAGGGGAAGAGAGAGGGGAGAGAGTGAGGGAGAGAGAGGGGGAGGGAGGGAGAAAGAGGGAGAGAGTGAGGAAGATAGAGGGAGGAGGGGAGAGAGGGAGATAAAGAGGAAGAGAGAGAGGGAGAGAGAGGGGGAGAGAGTGAGGGAGATAGAGGGAGGAAGGGGGTGGAGAGAAAGTGAGAGAAGGGGGAGAGAGAGGGGAGAGAGTGAGGGAGAGAGAGGGAGGGAGGGAGGAAGTGGGAGAGAGTGAGGGAGAGAGTGAGAGGGGAGGAGAGACAGGCGTCCGCACCTGATGCTGGCGTTGCCAAACTCTGGGGTGATATCTGCATCTGTCGCTGCCACTGCAATGACGTCATCGCCGCTTGAACAGCTTTCCTTGATGCTGACCGCGTACGCGTCCTCTGAAACGGTCGGTGTTACACCCATGTGACGTCACGTGATGTCGTCTGGCGCCGGCCTGTCGCGCTCCGGTGCGGCGGCTGCTGTACGTCAGTGCTTATCTATTGGTATCGCGATATTATGTCGGGCGTTTTCCGTACTTCGACTCATGCCTCGCGAGCTCGGGGCTCTCTAAAGCCAGGCTCGTCGGATGCCGGTCCATGCGACGGTGTTGGAAGAGACTTTGGGGGAGCCAGAGAAGATGTGACGCTTCGCGAGGGCAGGCACCGCGGAACGGTCCCGTAACAGCACCAGTGACGCTCGTGACGTCACCAGCGAGCCGATACAGTAGCGGTGGCAGCACGCCGGCGACTCTTGTCTGCTGACGAGCAGTGAAAACGGCAGCAGTGTTTCACACGACAAACGGGACTCTGTGACGTCAGCGCGCCCGTCACACGGGTGCGCTCACACGCAACGGAGTCGGCTGAGCCAGCCCAGCTGACGCTGACGTAGTGGCGCGGCCGTGTATTTCATTGGGCGGCCCCTCGCGTGAAACACAACAGGGCGGCCTACGGAGATGCCAGTATTTGTGCGTCTTGCTCACAGTCCGATCATCGATTTGCTGAGCATGTGAAAACGTGCGACTGTTGGTTCTGTAATGAGCTGCTTCAAGCGCCGGTTTTCGCCGCGCAGTGTTAGCAGTCTGTGAGCCGTTCAGCACGGCTATCATGACGCGGTTGACGCATCCTTAGCACGGAAGTCTGCGATATCAGGCAGCCTCGCTCACGACTCCACCATTGTATAACGGCTTCATCGCTCCGCACTGCCCACAGAAATTCTAGCCAGCAAACGGCAGCGTTATTCAAATGTAACAAATCATCTAGCTTTCGCTCCAGCCCTCGATGCCGATGCTCCCGGTTTGGAAAGTTTGGCACGTGAGGTAGGCATTGTCTAACCACTGGCATCCCAGTGGTGCATGAGCCCGACCTGATCCCACCGATGCGCACCTCAGATCGGTTTCCGCGGTCATCACTCTATTGAATTGATGGAGCGAAACTAGGGCCGGCTTTAACATCCAATCAGAACCAAGCTGGTGCTGCTCAAAGCCGGCAAATGCGCAGCAAGCTCTAACTCTAGCACAGCAAGCTCTGACTCTAACACAGTAAGCTCCAACTCTAGCACAGCAAGCTCTAAATCTAACACAGCAAGCTCTAACTCTAACACAGCAAGCTCTAACTCTAACACAGCAAGCTCTAACTCTAACACAGCAAGCTCTAGCTCTCAACTACGCTCATAATTTGACGTGATTGGATCCGGTGTCACTTGCAATGTAGTTCAATGACACCAAAACGCACAGGACATGCCTCTAGACCCGCGTGTTGCGTGCCGTGGCATCCAAAACGATTACAATGAGTTCAGTTCGTTGAAGAAGTTTCCACGTGCTCAGAAAATACTGACTCGATTTAACTTGATTTAACTCGATTTAACTTGAATGATTGCATACTCGTCTGTAGAGCACGCACTTTGTTTCAAAACATCCAAGCATTTCGGCATCTCAGGGATCAAAGGCCCGGGACCAGAGCCCGCACACGTGGAAATCTGAACGCGTTGTATTGGTTCAAATTTCCGTTTAAGCGTTTTGCTTCAAAACGCGGTACGCATGGCCATCCAGTTGCATGTACGGGGCCTCTGTGGGCGCTTTGTGGCAATGACAAAAGTTACACGGGATTAAAGGCGAGACTGCTGAGAACCTATGACACACCCGCCTCATGATGCCGGAGTCATCTAGCTGAGTGAGCAGTTGAAAGGCGGGCGCCCTCCACATACATGTGGCTGCTTAAAGTGCAGTTTAAGTTGAAGTTAGCGCTCGATGCAGGCAAAAATGACGTCGAGCTCTTGGTTTGCCGGCACGCATATGCACCGTCCTGTAGCATGTCACAGACAGCACGTAGCATATAGCATTATCTTATGTCACGTACCATAGCAGACACTCAAATCACTCTGTCCATTTCAGTTATTAGATTTGTTAAATCTAATGCTATTTTTCATTCCTAGGTATGTATGGGATGGTCTGCAGATATTCCTAGGTATGTATGGGATGGTCTGCAGATATTCCTAGGTATGTATGGGATGGTCTGCAGATATTCCTAGGTATGTATGCGATAGACTGCAGATATTCCTAGGTATGTATGAGATGGTCTGCAGATATTCCTAGGTATGTATGGGATGGTCTGCAGATATTCCTAGGTATGTATGCGATAGACTGCAAATATTCCTAGGTATGTATGGGATGGTCTGCAGATATTCCTAGGTATGTATGGGATGGTCTGCAGATATTCCTAGGTATGTATGGCATAATCTGCAGATAATCTCAAGCCTTCTCCTTTTTCACGGACCGCAGTTTTTATAATAAATCTCTTTAACGTTGACCACACGTGATCATGAGCACTCCTAGAAAAGTAAAGCATTTTTAACGTCATGTCAGTCAGCGCTTAATGCCTTGTTTTAACCTCCTAACCTCCTAGTGCACTGCAGGCTGATTATCTGCATCATCTAACATCAAAATGCCGATGTCAAAAATTCTGGTGGGAATAAGGTTTAAGGAACCTTGGATGTCAGCATGGCCATTGAGTCCTCATTTGCGGGTACTTAAGTATCGTTGCTAGACAACGTGAGCCCGTCATTGTAGCTCACCTCGGCCTGCGTTTGAAATACCGGACATTGGCACCAATACCGAGGCAATTTTCTGCCAAAGCTCATCTGGGCGGGGGCGCACTTCATGACTTCTCTGCAGCCGAAACTGCCAGCCTTTCCCGAACAGCGCGGTGCAGATGACAGACAACATGACGTCATACTTTCAAACACGGGCGAGTTATCGTTGACGTCGTTCAGGGTGATGATGACGTCAGAGCTACTGCTACTTTTTTTCTCGTTGTCACCCGTTGCCACCACCTGTCAAATAGGAGACGGTTGTTAAAAGGCTGGATAGAAGCCCATAGCCGGATGAACACATGATCACGTATAAACTGTCACGGTAAGGCCTCTGCCGCCATAGTCCCGTTCTACCACTGCTGATGCCGTGCGAGTTGCATTTGGCGTGCAATTTGAGCCGAGATTGCCTTCCAGTAACGCGTACGTTCATGCGTCGTATAAAGTGAGCTTCAATAAGCCTTCCTGCCAAACGGGCTCATTTTTGTGCTTAAAGTTAGACTAGAGCATTCTAGTGTATCGCAGCAGGCTTCAAAAGTTCGATGCTGGGCTCATTTTCCTGTGACCTTCAAGCGGTGCCCCACGGACCACGAAGCCGCCGCACGAGGCAGCGGCGTCTTTCGCTTCAAGGCGGAAAGCCGCCGCTTACCTTGAACTTTATGGTCTGTCGCTCCGCCACCTCGTAGTCCAAATAATCGGGATTCATGACGCGGATGTCGGTGATGAGCTCCTGTGCACCTTTGGTGGCGGCGGCCTCGAACACACCTTCAGGCGCCCCCTCCAGCGTTATGTCGAAGGCCCCGTTCGGGTACCGCTGTCGGCAGCATTTCGTCACTCTGGTGAGCACTTGTGCTCGTCGAGACCATACACGGTCCTTTTCTTGGCGTCTTACAAAGAGGAACACAATTAGGGCCCTCCCTGAATTGGCCTTATCTGCATCAAGGCCCAATGTATAAACATCGGTCCCATCGCACCACAGCCGACTCCAAAGCCCGTCTCGAGCACATCCAGCATGACCTTCATGACCTTCAATCATCCGTTTGAACTGTATCGGGAGACACCAGCGGTAGAAAGCTAGCTGTTAATACAGAAACTGTTCGGCTTCAGTTTTCACAATCTGTCCTATTGCAGGGACTACTGACGGGAAGCACCGCGTTGTTGCCTTAAAGGTGCTTACTGCTGCCTACTGTTGCCGCGCCATCGCGAGGCTAGCGCTGCGCTGTGCGGCCCGGCCGCTGCTGCAACCCTCCTGACCGCGTTACTACTGACCGAGTCCGGGTCGGTGACGTTGATCTTGAGACCGAGCATCCCCGGCCAGTTTTCGTCTATGGTGACCGGATAGCTGGGGCTGTCGAACGTCGGGATGTGGTCGTCCATGTCGTTTACGGTGATGATTCCCGTGGAGGTGGCGCACGTGATGTTGGAGCACGGCTGGTCTGGTTTGTCTGACGGGGTGGAGACCGAGTCAAGGACAATCGACGTCGCACGTGCGACATCGCGACAACGCTGCGCTGCGCTGTCTGCCCGCGCCGAGTCGTCTAACTGAAGCCGCGGGGCACACGTGCTGCGCATCGTCACATGGATGCCATGCCGCTGCCGCCCGGTCCTGTGCATCGTTACATGGGTGCCATGCCGCTGCCGCCCGGTCCTGTGCATCGCCACATGGGTGCCATGTCATTAGACAGAGCCGCCGCCGCGCGGTCCTGCCTAACTTTTGGGTGATTCACGCAACGTAGGCATGAGAGCGCCATTTGGACGCAGCGGCGTACGTCAAACAATAACGTCCGCCACACGGAATGTCGATTGGATTTGCGACAACGGGACACGGCACATGAGTGAGGTTGGTTCTAGTGGACGGGTGACGCCGCCATGTACGTCATGCTACAGGATACGCTGCCAGCGAGAGAGAAATAGGAGGCGTCCGTCCCTCTGACGCTGTCAGATATATATATATATATATATATATATATATATATATATATATATATATATATATATATATATATATATATATATTTTATTTCAGATATTTATATATTTCCCTCTAAGGTTATCACCGTAAGCCCGGGGCACATACGAACACTTCATATCTCCCCGGTATTCAGCTCAAGCCAAGCGGGAGCTCAGTGTTCAGCCCAAGCCAAGCGGGAGCTCAGTGTTCAGCCCAAGCCAAGCGGGAGCTCACTGCTCAGCCCAAGCCAAGCGGGAGCTCAGTGTTCAGCCCAAGCCAAGCGGGAGTTCAGTGTTCAGCCTAAGCCAAGCGGGAGCTCGGTGTTCAGCCCAAGCCAAGCGGGAGCTCACTGCTTAGCCCAAGCCAAGCGGGAGCTCAGTGTTCAGCCCAAGCCAAGCGGGGGCTCGGTGTTCAGCCCAAGTCAAGCGGGAGCTCACTGCTTAGCCCAATCCAAGCGGGAGCTCAGTGTTCAGCCCAAGCCAAGCGGGAGCTCACTGCTCAGCCCAAGTCAAGCGGGAGTTTACTGCTCAGCCCAAGTCAAGCGGGAGCTCTGTGCCCGTTGCGAGCCCGACGGAAAGACAAGCTCGATGATGTGTCACATGTGTCAGAACGCAACTCACATCGTTTTGAAGTGCACAGTGCACGCGCTGCGTGTACTGTTCTGAATGCTAAAACGCATGCTGTAATACATATTGTGGGGCGTGTTACATCACACTGCATAACATATTTTCACACAGCAAGTTTCGTCCCATGCTCAGAAAAGCGCTGTAATATGGATCTGATGAGTACTGTTCATACGCTGGGCTCGTGGCACTGCTTTGGCTTTAGTTCGGCACCCTGGCACCTCAAAACACGGTGGTGAAGCAGAAGGGGCAGATAGGGGCAGATATGCATTCGGTATTACGGACGTTTGGACATGTTAAGGACAAAAATTTTGATATGTTGAGCATTTGAATTCATTTCACTACGGCCTTCGTAGATTCAAGTTCAGAATTCAGCCAGAGCTAGCTTGCTGTTATTTGTTATTTTATAATCCGGTGATACACACAAACACGCGCGCGCACACACACACACACACACACACACACACACACACACACACACACACACACACACACACACACACACACACACACACACACACACACACACACACACACACACACACACACACACACACACGCACACACACACACACGCACACACACACACACACACACACACACACACACACACACACACACACACACACACACACACACACACACACACACACACACACACACACACACACAAGATGTTCTACTCTATGTTGTCCATTGGCTTACCATGTCCATCTGCTTACTATTTCCCTGTGGCTACGGCTATCCCAGAGCTACGCTTAAGGACTATAGGCATATGGCCATCGCTTTAAAGCCCAGTGTTTTCACCATGTCTGAGCTGTCCTTTGGTCAATGATAACGCTTTCAGATGTACCAGCGCTGTGTGGTGAGAAGTCAGCGGCACGCTTGATCGCTGGCCTGTGCTAAATGTGACAAGTTCGCTGCAATCACTAGTCTTACATGATTCGGCCAGTGAGGCGGGGTCACCGCTCCGGGTACTGTTACAGCAGTGAGGGGCGTGTGTGTGGTGGTGAGGCGGGGTCACCGCTCCGGGTACTGTTACAGCAGTGAGGGGCGTGTGTGGTAGTGAGGCGTGGTCACCCCTCCGGGTACTGTTGCAGTAGTGAGGGGTGTGTGTGTGGTGGTGAGGCGGGGTCACCTCTCCGGGTACTGTTATGGCAGTGCAGGCAGGAATCAGAAATCAATGCCGGCACCACCATTGTCTGTAGACCTAGATCTACTCAAAAAAGAATAGGTGGCTGCACTTGTGCTGTAAGTACCAGTCAAATGAGCTCATCATTTGACATTACATTGCAACTTATTTCACAATCTGTACGGGTGTAAATGATAGGCATGGTCCATTTTCTACTCCATCCACATTCTACTCCATCATATAACTTACAAAGCAAATGACAACATCAAACCCCAAATGACACGCGTCTACCACCCAATAGGCGGCAAATTGTCGTCACGTGCCTTCGACAGGTGCGTTGTGAGTTCATCCTTCAGGAAAATCTGAACAGCTCCGAGTGCGTTTGGCCGCTGTCAGTCGCAAGGCTTAACTCATGCCGGCCCCGTCTGTCAGTGGACTCAGCTCATCAGACGGCCCCAGCTCATCAGACAGCCCCAGACATCTCAGCTCATCAGACGGCCCCAGCTCATCAGGCGGCCTGAGACACCTCAGCTCATCAGACGGCCCGAGACACCTCAGCTCATCAGACGGCCTCAGCTCATCAGACGGCCAGAGATACCTCAGCTCATTAGACGGCCCCAGCTCATCAGGCGGCCTGAGACACCTCAGCTCATCAGACGGCCCCAGCTCATCAGACGGCCCGAGATACCTTAGCTCATCGGACGGCCCCAGACGCCGCGTTCGGAAGGCGCGATTGAAAACGTTTTACGTAAATCCCATTTCAGCTCGCCGGGGGTGATTCGAATGTCTCGCTAGGCTTTTGATAACATTGCATTTTTTAATACGTTTTTTCACGTGCCACCTTATGTTTATCATCCTCTCCTATTGGCATGCATATCAATGCACACAACAATAGATAAGGAGAGGGGGAGGGGGTGGATACGTACTCGCTTCTGGCATATGCACCGGGTTACTGGGCTGTTTTCATACCTATTTATGCAGAATCTGTCAACACACTTGATCTACATTGCCGGCGTGCTCTGAAAATGGTCATATACCTGCGGGCGACTCCCGGGCCTGCACAACGACGGAGATGAAGCCGTTGACGGCAGCGATGGCCGGATCCTCCCTGTCTAGGTCCTTCAGAAGCGTGACGGCCCCGCTCTGGGTGTCGATGGTCATTATGCTGTCGGGATTCTCTGCAACGCGTCGGCATTCGCGTCAGCCGGCTGGAGGCGACACACGTTTGTGCGGCCGTGTGAGCACGTTGTAAAAAGGACCCATGTGTCATGCATACAAACAAGCAGACGTACATATATATATATATATATATATATATATATATATATATATATATATGTGTGCGTGTGTGTGTGTGTGTGTGTGTGTGTGTGTGTGTGTGTGTGTGTGTGTGTGTGTGTGTGTGTGTGTGTGTGTGTGTGTGTGTGTGTGTGTGTGTGTGTGTGTGTGTGTGTGTGTGTGTGTGTGTGTGTGTGTGTGTGTGTGTGTGTGTGTGTGTAGACACACATGCGCTGATTTATTGATGAACATCCAACTACGAAGTATCAGTCTAAATCATTATTTTGCTGCTCATAAGGTCACGTGATCTTTCGAGAAAAAAACACTCAGTTTGACCTGTTGCATTCGTGCTACGCAGGTGCGACTACGAGAGTGCAAGAAACGGCACAGGAACTGTAAACAGGCTACAGCTGCTCCTAACAAAGAAAGCATTTCAGAAAGAAAACAAGGGTACGCTACAAACCTGGTTCGGGAGCTCAAGTTGTTATGAAATAGAAGCATTGGTGTACGTAATGTAACACGCACAATGCGTATTTCCAGTACTGTGGAGAGTACTACGGAAACTCACGTTTGGTTATGGAGTAGACTATTGGGTTATTGACCCCTAGGTCTCCGTCAATGGCCAACACGCTGAATATGAGCGCACCCTGAAACGGGGTCATCAAGTTATATCGCAGTGCAATGCCTGATAAAACAATGGAGGTCACATTAAAACCGGGCCGTACACACGAGATTTGTAAGCGGCGTAACAGGGAAGCCACTTTTGTCGCTTTTCAGTGCCGTCATGACGTCAAATAACAATGCTGTTTTATCTTAAGCATGCTTATATTTTTTAACCCACCAGTCCAAATTTGCAGGATGGTAGCGAATGGAACTTACACCTGACAATATGGCACGCCCCTCTAGCCTTCTAGTGTCGTTTTCACTCTACCTCTTTGTCTTCAAAGTGGTCTGGGGTTTCTTGAATAGCTAATTAGATAATCCGGGACAGTGCATAATTGCGGTTCAGTTACAAAACCGCTTGAGTGGCTCCCGCAGCCACTCTTACGAAGCATTTTTATGCCGTTAAATTAAGAAAAAACAAAATTCTGAAGATTTTGGTAAAGCCTAAGATAGCTGACCAGTGGTTGGCTTATGTGTCTTTATTTTTGTTTACTGGGAAGATTAATGGAATGATTTACCAGGATAGGTTATTTAAATCCTTGTTGGGCATAGTGCTGCAAAGTTCCTGAACCGCACACCTCCAGCTAAGCAAACCCAGCTCAACGAACAATTCTGCGGAATAAGTGCGGCGCCCTCGACACTGCTGTCCTGTCGTCCCCGTGCCAGGTGGCTTCTGCTGACTACCTGCCAAATGGCGTTAGTCAACAGCCTCAAGGCAGCAGCCTCCTCCACTTGGAAAGGATGATTATTGCTATAATTATTTCAGGAATGCTTTTCATATTAGCGTGACTCAAAAGGTCGATGAATACAGGCCGGGCCACATTTGACATTCAGTTGTGGCGTCGTCGGTGGACGGTTGTTTCTCGTGCATTTACATTTGACTGCATTTCGTGTGCTTTTCCGAACTTTTAAACTTATTTGGCATAACGCTGGGCATGATGGCCAGGTCGTGCAGGTCAAACCGAATGTTCCTTCTTTTAAAATGTGCTTTGCCAAATAAGGAAGCGATGCGACAAAGGGCTGGTTCTGTAAATGATAACTGATAGTAGCATAATGCTGCGGCAGGATGCTTCAGTGCACCTCTTTGACACGAATTTATTTTAGCCGCTATGTCGTCGAGGCATTTTAACCCTTCACTATCATAACCTATGGAGTTTGACTGAACATACAGTTTGGTGGAGGTCACTTTGCCCCTTTCGAAGGTATTTTGCCTGTATAACTCCCGAACGACTTCGTGTAGTCGCACGAAGCTTGGAATAGCTGAGAGCTAACTTAAATAATGGACCTTTTGGTATAAAAATGTGAATGTAACTGTCAAGGTCGCTGACCCATGGCAGGTCAAAGGTGGGCCGTGACAGTCAGCCAGGGCAATTTCTAGGGAATCGTTCAATTTGACGCGACAACGGAGCGTTATACGAGAACGAATATACTTGATGAAGTTTCCTAGGCAACAAAAACGGTTCAATTAAGGATCAAAATAATTACAATGACCTAGGGTCAGGTCAGACCGAGATCTAAACCGACCTACATTTTTACTCGGGTGCTTGCTGCTTGGAAGTAGTTTCTGGTGTTCATTTCGAATTTATTGGTAACAGGGACCGAAACAAACATTTTGCATGCCATTTTTAAAGGTGGGAGTAGGTCACTGACATAAAATAACCAAGGTCAATATTTTGTGTTTAAGAACATGCCGCCTAGCGTTATGCTTGACACCGATTCCAATGTAAAAAACAAAACGATCCCGTAGAGTTTTGGATGGCCATGACCTTTTAAAGGTCGAACAACATCACTGGTATTAACACGCGCCGGAGTGGCCGGTTGAATATCCTTCACTCGGTTGGGGATGGAGTCAATTTAATCCCTTGAGATTTCAAAAACTAGCATGGCTAGAGACACCAAATTTACAGTGTAGATTAACATATGTCTGAGCTTACTTGTCTCCAAATTTGAGATTCCTAGATCATAACCTGAAGGTTAGGTAATACCAAACAATGTCAAACTTTAGCTAAGTGCACAAAATGCCTCCAGACCTCCGTATGCAACCGTCGTGAGCCTAGATACCTTTTCTAATGAAAAGGTCAATAGTGTTTATTAAATTCAGTGACCTTGTTTGACCTAAAGAGGGTCCAGGTGACAAAGAACCTATGGGATAAGAAAAATGAGAGGTTCTTGGACTAATGTGGGCAGCGGGAGCAGCCGGTGCTGACGGCCTCATCATACAGATGATAAGCATGACATTGGCTGCTGTACAGGTACGGGATGGTTCTTGACCCGCCGCTGCTAAAGTCAAGGTACAGGTACGGGGAGGGTTCTTGACCCGCCGCTGCTGAAGTCAAGGTACAGGTACAGAAGGCGGTTCTTTACCCACTGCTGCTCAAGACCAGGTACAGGTACAGGGGTGGTTCTTTACCCGTCGCTGCTAAAGCCCAAGTGCATGTACAGAGTCGTTTTTGACCCAACGCCGCTAGCTCCCAGGTGTATGCACAGCTAGCCCAGCCCAGGTACGCGGGTTAGAACAGAGCCTGCTCACGCAGCTCCTTCAAATGCAGAGCTTTGTTCAGCTGGAACGCTTAAGACACGACCCTCAGACTTGAGGAAAGATGTTCGGAGCGACGTGTGTGTCGACTGGGACACTTAAGACACGACCCTCAGACTTCAGGGAAGATGTTCGGAGCGAGGTGTGTGTCGGCTGGAACGCTTAAGACACGACCCTCAGACTTGAGGGAAAATGTTCGGAGTGAGGTGTGGTCTGTAAAAGCACTCTGCCTTAGCGTGCATGGTATTGTCTATTCTTTGAAACGTGAATCTGTTCTTACGGCTATGATGGTATGTACTTGACTGAACACGGGAAGCAACTCCCCTGGGAATGTTCTCAATACGTATCTATCTGCATCTGTAAAACAATGACCGTCGCACAATATCTTCATGCTCGGCAATAAGTCTCCAGACGCTGGAGACAGACTGTGGGGAGCCCACTAACCTTTGGCACCGTCTCGTCCACGACCTTGGTGGCGGCTGGCGAATTCCAGAGAGGTGGCGTGTCGCCCACGTCCTGAACGTTGATGTTCACGGTGACCGAGACGTTCTGGCGGAGACCGCGGCCGTCGGGAGCGTCCTGCCAGGGCGCAGTGCGCCGGTCAGGCCGGCTGGGCCGCTCGCCATTGGCTCGCTCATGTGCGCACGCGTCAAAACCAGGTTACCTCATGAGGAAAAGTGTGGCGTGTAATACATGTGGGAGAGTGCTCAAACTGGGATATAACACAACTTGTTCGCCTCAACGTAAGTCATGCCTAAGGTTTTAATGCTCGCTTATCTATTGTCTTCTTCTCTAATCTCCTGCACGGCATGACTAGACGGGGCATGAGAGAAGAGACCATGTTCTGCTGGCAGCGGCCATACCTGCTGACAACCATGACGCATTCGGCTTAAGTATGACGCCAGCAGATAGCAGTTTATGGCCAGGAGCTGCGTGCCTGCCTCCGACACTTGTGAACAAGGCGCGTGTGCAAACAGATCATGAATCTCAAATACGCAGGGCCCACAGCCCCGCATCCGCTGGCACTCCTTGATCTCCGGGACGCTTGAGCAAGCTGGGGACCGGCTCGCCGCTGACCGTGGCTGTGATGGTGAGCGTGTACAGCCGGCTTGTCTCGTAGTCCATCGGCTTGATAAGGTGCAGCTGGCACCCGTCGGACGGACTGGTCAGGGTGAATAGTTCCGGATTGACCTGAATCAGCGTCATCAGCGCATCAGCCGCATCCCAGCCGCACTGCTCGCGTCAGGTCATAGTTTGGCCGCACTGCTCGCGTCAGGCCGTAGTTTGGCCGCACTGCTCGCGTCAGGTCATAGTTTGGCCGCACTGCTCGCGTCAGGCCATAGTTTGGCCGCACTGCTCGCGTCAGGTCATAGTTTGGCCGCACTGCTCACATCAGGTCATAGTTTGGCCGCACCGCTCGCGTCAGGTCATAGTTTGGCGTTGGTCCCGTCAGACATTTGTCGAATGTTCATGACGGTACAGACGAGCCCTTTCAAATCATGCTGATGTTTCTAGAATGAAAGTAGGCGTCCTTTATCATTATACGCACTTAATATCGTTTCTTATTGTCATACTAGCTATTATAATAATCGCTGTCATCACGCTGTCCATTATCACCACTTACTATTATTACATGAGCAAACACAGTAGCACAATTCCACTATCTAAGCACCTTATGACGTTTTCTGTTGATGAGACTGGATCGTCGGTGAAGCATATAGTCAGTATCTTGTTTATAAGGGAAATATGGCGAGATACGCACTACTATGAAGGAAACAGGCTCCATAGACGTCAAAAGATATGTTGGAAAGCGTTACTTTCACGTGTAAGCGATCACAATATAGGCCAAGATCACCCGGAAGAAAGAATGCGACGGAAGGAGAACAAGAGTGCAATTATGTGCAGAATTGAAGCTGACGTCACCTTTCCGGTTTTTTCGCATCCACACACATCACATCGGTAGGGAGCAAGTATATGTTGCTGTCACTTCGTGAAAATGGTTCCAGAATTTTGTTAGGGAGAGGGCAGAGGGCTGTCGTTGCTCTCAAGCGGGGGTAATGAGTGACATACTGTTGCTAGGTATAGCTGGGGTTACTCTCAAACGGGGGTAATGGGGGACATACTGTTGCTGGAGTATAGCTGGGGTTTCTCTCAAACGTGGGTAATGAGTGACATACTGTTGCTGGAGTATAGCTGGGGTTTCTCTCAAACGGGGGTAATGGGGGACATACCGCTGCTAGAGTATAGCTGGGATTACTCTCAAACGTGGGTAATGAGTGACATACTGTTGCTGGAGTATAGCTGGGGTTACTTTCAAACGGGGTTAATGATTGACATACCGTTGTTAAAGTATAGCTGGGCACCTTCGTACCACCCTGATCTGCATCAGTTGCTTTCAGTACCAGCAAAGAGTCATTCGTGCTGTCCTGCGGTACAAAACATGATAAGACAGCGTTCAGCACTCCAATGCCTTGTGTCATACGGTTTCTTACACAATGAGACAATGTAATGCACACAAGTGAAATCAAGTTACACGTGTGAAGTTTCATACAGGCCTCAGCGACATACGTGAGCGTGGCTAAGCCGGACACGCGTCCACATCCGGCGCCTGAGCTACACCGTTCTGACCGCGACGCTTCACCTCTGGAACATTAAGGTTGACTTGGGAGCCGATGCCGCCGTCGAACCTGGGCGGGTTGTCGTTCACGTCTTCCACGTGTATGATGAGCGTTTGACTGTTTCCGCCGTTCAACTTCACCGTCGTTATTATGTCTGTTTTCTGAAGCAGAGGACAGTCGACTGTTGGTGACAGTGCCAGCTGGCACGACCGTCCAGTTCAGTGGGTACGCAACCACCAAGCAGCAGAACGCCAGCGCCGAGTCGCCATTTACTGCACACATGCATGCGTGCATTTAGTGTATTTCATTTGAACTCACCGCAAATCTAAGAGCCCCAATTTTGATTCGTTATATTATAAGTTCGAAGTAAACATCACTCTCAACTTCCTGTGCGGATGAGGCGTACAAAAGCTCGCTAAGCTAACGGTCCTGCGGTCATTGGCCCTCACCTCACCTCACCTCACATCTCACCTCACCTGCATTCACCTCAACTCAACTCACCTCCCCTTGCCTCACTCACCTCGCCTCACTTCACTTCACCTCGCCTCACCTCACCTCACCTCACCTCACCTCACCTCACCTCACCTCACCTCGCCTCACCTTACTCCGTCCATCGGACGGCCCACTCCTAATATGGCAAAGCGCGCATCGGTTAGAGATCACAAGGCGGTTATATAAACCGATGTTCCCTTCTGACCAACAGTAACACCGCATAGAGGGTTTTCTCATATCTAAGCAACAGCCTTCTCTTCAAGCTCGGTAAAACCCGCTCTGCTGAGCTATTGAGCTGAGCTATTCTGTTCGTACTAATTGTCCCGGCCGTCCCACGGCTCACCGAAAGCATCCGCTTTGCCATGCATTCTGGTCTCCGCTCTGTGAAGGCCATGGTTAGGTGCGGAGAAATTAAGAAACAAAATCAGCGTTCCTGAGAACATTTCTGCTTTTTGACGCTTCCACGCGCCTTGCCGGGGCATGGAAGCGTTAAAAGGCGAAGATTGCAGAGCCCCACAGAGTTCCACTAGCCACAAGCGTCTGCCTGTCAGAAATACCCTGCTAACACTATCTTCAAAGGGTTTGTGATGCTGCACATGCTCAAAGGGGCATTACAGCCCTGTTTACGCCAGCGGTTGTTCGACTGCTACCTAATGTGATCCCGCCGTATTGCACAGGTATTTAGTTCTGAACTGTACAGAAAACATGATCATCAGGACACGAAACTCATCGTTGTTTTGGCTAGGCCTGTGATATACCCGGGAATGGCCGCTAAGCTTTGCCTTGGAAACTTTTTTCGTACGTCATTACGCACCCAATATGGCATTTCATATTTATTCTAAAGCCTTGGCTAAAGACTTGTGTGAAAACGGCAGCAAATGACATTCTTAGAATCATTTTTTGCGTTCGATATTTGTCGGGGACATGAATGAGTCCAACATGAAACAGGCTCACGAATGAAGCGTCGCTCGCTCCGATGACAAGTTGCTGGTAGTTTCAGAGCCGAACATTCATCGGAAATTTCAGCAGCCACGCTTCCTTTCAAACGGGAGTGACCGCGGCGCCGGCGGCCGTGTAATGGCGGCTGTAGCGAAGCATACGTTGCCTCGCTCGCGGACACCCGTCTCAGCGTGCGGTCAAAGCATGGGACCACTCGCATGTCCTTGGTGTGAAATCGGTCAACTGACTTTTTATTGATCTCGGTCTTCATTTTCAAAGTTGTTCGATATGAGCGGCGCCATAAAACGGTGGATATTTGGTGGCGATCGGTCACGTGAGCTTACAAGTCCCTGCAGTTCTGCATCTTGTCATATTTGCATCTGATCTTGTTTTTGTGGGCTTCTATGCCACCCAACGAAAAAGTCTCACTTCAAGCTCCGGTTACCACCCGCTGCTTCGTGCTTTACGTTAGAGGCAAAGAGACGCATAGTATTATGGTTATGGACGCGCAATCGGCCCATTACCAACATTCAAACTGACAACATGTCTGTCTGCTCATTCCTTGCTGTCAGCAGGAAATCTTACGACCTAAATTATATCATTGCTGATGAAAGAAAATTGTGCACCTTGATGCGATGTGCGTGCATAATTATGTATCAGAGAGGTTCCGGCACTGATGAGTGAGGAAATCGCTTTAAAAGCCCAACGCTTCGTCCGTATTTTTGACGGTTCCTTACTGGAGTAACATTTGGGCTGGACTGGGAACTGTCTTACACCGGTGAACCAACCCAAGCAATGCATGCACAGTCGTTGGTTTTTAGCATGCGCCCAGGTGGCTGGTTGAATACCATTCACTCAGGTGGGGATCTCAGATCTCTGAGATCTTAGAAATGAGGGAGTTAGAGACACTAAATGTACAGGGTATCTTGACCCATACGTGAGCTCAGTTTTGTCAAAATTTGAAGTTCCTAGGTTATGACCTCCGGACCAAATAAGGTCAAACAAGGTCAAACCCCAGGTTGGCGTCCAAACTGATTGGTGTGCTGTTCTGAGCAAAAGGCTACTGATTCTCATTTAAGGTCGTTGACGTTTGACCTTTCGAAAGTCAAGGTGACCTTTCAAAGTCATGGTGACCAAAATTATACAAGACTGCCTTGAGTTTTGCATTTGACCGAGCGTCAAAGATTAAGCTAGGCAGCATGTTCCTTAAAACAGAATGTTGACCCGAGCCGTTTGAGGTTGTTGACCTTTTCTGACCTCTGAGGAGTCCATGACAGATGTATAATGCGCTTCTTGTTATCAAGAATTTGAGATGAGCACCACACAGCAGGCTCTAGAGTGATAAAACAGGTTGGTTTTCACATTGGTCTGACCTTCATACCTGACCCTAGTTCAGTGGAATTTGTTCAGTCAGTTCTTGTGTCGCCTAAGAAACTATCTCGGAGATGAATGGCCTCGTCTAAAGCTCTGCCCTCCATCAGACTGGACGATCCCCAAAAAACCGTCTTCGCTGAATCCATGACCTGTCTTTGACCTGTCGTAGGTGAGCGACCTTACCAGGTGCATATAAGTTTTTGGTACTAAATAATCCGCTTTTCAATTGTCTAGAGCTATTAAAATCTGGCGCGGTTGGCCGTACCGTTCGAAAGTGATTCCGGAAAACCCTTCGGGGGGCCAGTTGACCCCGTCCATTTTTGCGCGTGTTGAACACGCTAAACAAACAAACACGTTTTGCCATAATATATGAGAATGCTTTTTGTGCTTCTCGGAAGAAATAGATGCACATACACTAGTATTGCCTGTAGCAGACCATATGCGTCGGCGTCTGGTAAGATCAAGCAAAAATTTTGCGACAGTGTTGAAAGGTGCTGTGCGTATGGCCTTTTTGCATGCGGTGCACGATTGTACAAATCGCAATATGATTTCCCGGAGGTCATATTGCGATTTGTGATCATATTGCGATTTGTGATCATATTGCGATTGAAGTGGATGGCATCCACTTTATATCATAAACAGTAAGACTCACACTAATGGTGCTCTGCACCGCGTGGCCCAGTCGTCACCAAGAGCTCCTCTTGAGAACCACGCGTCCAAGCGGGCAGGCCAGGGATCGTACCCGCAGGCCAAGCATCCCCTCAAGCGGGCCAGCGAAAGCGTGTGCACCAATAGTTACCGGCCTCTCGAAGTCGAGTTGTGACGCCAATGTGACTTTGATGTTGGGTGCATTCTCTGTGAACTCCAGTTGTACACCATCCTCTGCTGTCACTGTGACCTTTTCACCTGAGGACACAATTGTCAGCATCACGTCCTCCTCTCAAGGCGCAGATATCAGCATCACGTCCTCCTCTGAGGCCGCAACTAGGAGCATGACATTTTCCCTTGAGGATACAGCCGTTATAAATCCTCCCCAGAGCACCCAGTCGTTATACGTCCTCCCCAGAGCACACAGTCGTCAAACGTCCTCACCAGAGCACACAGTCGTCAGTGCCACGTCCTCCTCTGACGACACTGCCGTCAGCATCACATCCTCCTCTGAGGTCACAGTTGTTACTATCACATCCTCCCCCGGGAACACTGCGTCAGTATCACGTGCTCTTGCGAGGATGCACTCATGAGTATTACGTCCTCCCCTGAGGACACAGGCATCAGTACTAAGTTCTCCTCTGAGAACAGTCGTTGGTATTACGTCCTCCCCAGAGGACACGGTAGTCGCCCTGATGACACGGCTGTCAGCGTCACGTCCTTCTATGAGTACACAGTGGTCAGTATTGCGTCATCCCGTGAGGACACAGTCGTCAGTATCACGCTCTCTCGCAAGGATGCGGTCGTCAGTATCACGTCCTCTCCTGAAAACACATTGACCACCGTGACGTCATGCCAAAAGGACATGTCCACCGCTCTGACGAAGCGTCCAGGCAGCGCTCGTATTACTACGATGCTCTCACTGAGAGAATGGCTGCTTTGGGCGCCATCTCCCGGGGACTTCGTCATCTCTCATTTCCGTGGACGCCGCCGCGATAGCCATCACGTGCAAATGGGACACACGGCACTCGAGATTCTCAAGAACAAAAATGACGAAACAATGCAAGGCAAGGTTGCATGTCACTGGCTGGCAAACTTTCTTTGACCTGGCGAAAATGTTCGCGAAGCAAGCATGTGGCCAAATGCGTAGATTCAAGAGCTAAGTGGCGTGAGATATGCGTTTGATGGCGAGCAGCCAGGCGGACCACGCATGTTTTAAGAAATGTAAGGGAATTTTTATTTCATGACCCGATCCAACCTGGCCCAAACCGCCTCCGTCTAACGCATTTTTCCACTTTTACAGCTGCACGGCACATGGGTACCAAAGCAAGCCGTTTTGACAAGATGTTTTTTTTTGTATTGAATCTCTGTATTTCGAGTTATGTGGTGACATTTATGTCGTTTCTCTTTACAGTGGTGCTTCATATGAACTTTATTTACGCTGTATTGCACGAAAAGAACGCGCCCATTACACAAACAATCCGCCCACCGCAAATACCCCCCATTGCAAAAAATCTGTCCGTTGCAAAAAAAAAAACATTGCAGAATCTGCCCATTGCACCGCCACGTGGGGGATGAACTCAGCATGTGCTACGGTCTCCCCCAAAAGCATAAGCGGGTCATTTGTGAACCTTTACGTGAATGAAGTAATTTACAAACGTCATAAACAAAATGTCCAAGTGACAAAATCGTGTAGGCGTATCTGGACTCCTCTTGCTCAAACTCACCTTCTGCGGCGTTCACGTGCAAAACTGCGATCTGGTGGCCAATCGGCACGTCTTCATATATCGTGAGTTCGCTGTTATCGGTATTGACTTTAATCACGTAGTCGTCCTTTGACGCGGTCATCCATGGATCTTGCCAGGTGGGTGCCGCTCCTGACAGTGAAGAAAAACGCCACTATCATATTGGTATGTGACAGCTCAGTCGTTCCGGTCAGTGAAGGCAGTGTGACTGCGACTGGTCATGACTGGCCAGTTATTTATGCACCATTTGGAACTTATTTTTCTATCAAAGGATTGTCAGTGGATGTGTACGAACCACAGACATGACACTGCATTACACGACGAAGAGCTGGAAAGTTCCGAAAACAGGCACCGATTCAAAAACAGCGTTATTCGAAGTCACGTTTTCAGCGACTGATATCAGGTGATTATCCAATGATCAACTTTTCCGCGCCGTTCGAACGTACATGGAATGCATTTAAACAGGCAGCGTAAGACACTATCAGTTCTCCAATAGCATTGTTAGTAATAATGAATGTAAAGTGTGCACAAGGCGTACACACAGTGCTGAGTGATTGCTGAAGTTGGGTATTTTGATTTACCACGTCACCGCAGTCAAATAATACCAAAGCCTCTTGCAGTCCTTCCTGGTTTTCTTCTGTCCTCCTGTGGCTAATTACCGTGCTCTTGTGGCGAAATGCCGTCCTCCTGTGCCTAACTGGTGGCCTCCTGTGGCTAGCTATCGTCCTCCTGCAGCTAACTACCGTCCTCATGTTGCTAACTACCATCCTCCTGCAGCTAACTACCGCCCTCATGTGGCTAACTACCATCCTCCTGCAGCTGACTACCGTCCTCATGTGGCTAACTACCATCCTCCTGCAGCTAACTACCGTCCTCATGTGGCTAACTACCATCCTCCTGCAGCTAACTACCGTCCTTTGCTGGCAACCCGCAGAACTCCCACGGCTCTTGCCGTTCTCTCCTGGCTTTCTACCATCTTCTGACGGTAACCCGCGGTCATCTCCTGGTTACTTGCCGTCCTCCCCTCGCTCCCTTCTCTGCCCTGGTGACCTACCCGTCCTCCCCTGGTTACCTGCAGTCCACGCGGTCACCGCCAGACAGAGGACGGTCATCAGTCGAGCGTGGGTGGCCATGTCCTGTTGCGGCCGCCTCAGGGCGACCGTGTCTTCTCCCGCCTCGCTGACGCTCTGCGCAGGGCTCGGACTCGGAGTCGACACGGTGCACCAACGGGGGCTCAACTGGCCGGCGCTGCTGGCCTAGGCCGGCCGCCGCCAGACGCCGATAGCCCCGGATAAGATAGCCGGGAGCGTCGCCGCACGGGTCAGGGTCGCTGACGGCCGCACCGGCCCGAGGGAGGAGGGGGGGGGGGGGGGGGGCGGGCGCTCCCTCAGCCACCGCACGGGTCAGGGTCCGCTGACGGCCGCACCGGCCCGAGGAGGAGGAGGGGGGGGGGGGGGCGCTCCCTCAGCCACCGCACGGGTCAGGGTCCCTGGCGGCCGCACCGGCCCGAGGAAGGAGGGGGGGGAGGGGCGCTCTCTCAGCCACCGCACGGGTTAGGGTCCCTGGTGGCCGCACCGGCCGGAGCCAGGAGGGGGCCGGGGCGCTGCCGGCACAGCCTCAGCCACCGCACGGGTCAGAGTCCCTGGCGGCCGCACCGGCCAGAGGGAGGAGGGGGGGTGGGGGGGGGGGGGGGCGCTCCCGACATAATCTCAGCCGAAGCCGGCGGGTGGCACTCTATCGCGGTCGCCGCACTGTTCGCCTGCAATATTATCAAGTTAAAGCACGTTTAGAAATACCTCTATGTTTGCCGTGATCAACACCGATGCCCGCTTCCTGAATCATTTCTATCCTGATGCTCGGTAGAGGCCATCGGTACCTTTCGGCTCCGCCGTCTGTGTTGCAGGCTGACGTTGGCAGCAGCGGACGTGAGAATGTCCTGGTGTATTGAAGGCTCGATGCCGCGACGTGAGAATGTCCTGGTGTATTGAAGGCTCGATGCCGCGACGTGAGAATGTCCTGGTGTATTGAAGGCTCAATGGCGCGATGTGAGAATGTCCTGGTATACTGAAGGCTCGATGCCGCGATGTGAGAATGTCCTGGTACATTGAAGGCTCGATGCCGGGACGTCAGAACCTCCTGGTATATTAAAGACTCGATGCTAGGACGCGAGAACCTCCTGGTCTATTGAAGGTCGATCGCCATGGGTGGAAGAACTATGAAGTTATGGAGTTAGTACACACAGAATGTCATCAATACCCTGTCAAAAGCTGTCCTAGCTGTGCAGTTTTAGTCCTCTGGCTGCAGTGATGGCTGATCTGTAGCAATCAGGCGCGTGGACTATGTTTGAGTTTCAAAAGCCGGGCAGTCTGGCCCACACGGCACCCTTTCGCCGGTGAGAACTATCAGACCGACTCCGAAGCATCATTTGACAACCTTTTCCGGGGCACACCCAGGCCTGTGGGTACGCCCCTCTCCCCCCCCCCCATCGGACCCCCTCAGCGGCGCCGTCATCGGACCTCACCTCGAACAACGGCTGGCGGTGATCGCCGAGATCCCGCGCGCCGTCACCGAGGGTTCTCGTTCCGGAGCATCCGAAAGAGTGTTGGATAAGCGTCCTGCTTATCGGATTACCTGCAGGTGTCTTCGATAGGCGGCTGGCGTGCGGTGTGACGCCCGACGCTGACCAGCGCTTATGCCCTGTACGCTGACCAGCGCTGGTGCCCTGTACGCTGACCAGCGCTGGTACCCTGTAGGCTGACCAGCGCTGGTACCCTGGACGCTGACCGGGGTGCTGGTACCCTGTACGCTGACCAGCGCGTGGTAACCCTGTCAGCTGACCGGTGTGGTACCCTGTACGCTGACCGGTGCTGGTACCTGTACGCTGACCAGCGCTGGTACCCTGTACGCTGACCGGCGCGGTACCCTGTACGCTGACCAGTGCTGGTACCCTGTACGCTGACCAGCGCTGGTGCCCTGTACGCTGACCAGCGCTGGTACCCTGTACGCTGACCAGCGCTGGTACCCTGTACGCTGACCGGTGCTGGTACCCTGTACGCTGACCAGCGCTGGTACCCTGTACGCTGACCGGCGCTGGTACCCTGTGCGCTGACCGGTGCTGGTACCCTGTATGCTGACCGGCGCTGGTACCCTGTACGCTGACCGGCGCTGGTACCCTGTAGGCTGACCAGCGCTGGTACCCTGTAGGCTGACCAGCGCTGGTACCCTGTACGCTGACCAGCGCTGGTGCCCTGTACGCTGACCAGCGCTGGTACCCTGTACGCTGACCAGCGCTGGTACCCTGTACGCTGACCGGTGCTGGTACCCTGTATGCTGACCGGCGCTGGTACCCTGTATGCTGACCGGCGCCGTAACGCTGGCGGCACGTCACGGTCGGCCAGGCTCACGGTCGATTAGGTTGCGTTTGGTAAGGTAGCTGCCGGTCAGATCACGGTCCGCCAGATCACGATCGGTCAGGTCACGATCGGCCAGGTCACAGTCTGTCAGGTCACGGCCGGTCAGGTCACGGCCGGTTACGTCACGGTCGGTTGGGTCATTGCCGGTCAGATCACGGCCGGTCAGATCACGGCCGGCTACGTCACAGTCGGTGAGGTCACTGCTGGTCAGATCACGGCCGGTCAGGTCACGGCCGGTCAAGTCACGGTCAGTGAGGTCACTGCTGGTCAGATCACGGCCGGTCAGGTCACGGCCGGTCAGGTCACGGTCGGTTAGGTCACTGCCGGTCAGATCACGGCCGGTCAAGTCACGGTCAGTCAGGTTACGGTCAATCAGGGCACGGCCAGTCAGGTTACGGTCAGTCAGGTCATGGTCAGTCAGGTTACGGCCGGTCAGGTCACGGTCAGTCAGGTCATGGTCGGTCAGATCACGGCCGGTCAGATCACGGTCGGTTACGTCACGGTCGGTTAGGTCACTGCTGGTCAGATCACGGCCGGTCAGGTCATGGTGGTCAGGTCACGGCCGGTCAGATCACGGCCGGTCAGGTCACCGTCGGTCTGGTCACGGTCGGTTAGGTCACTGCCTGGTCAGGTCATGGCCGGTCAGGGTCACGGCCGTTTAGGGTCACAGCCGGTGGCGACGGCGCTGGGGCCGGCGTTAACAAGCGGGGCAGGACGTGATCCCCCTCTCCACAAGAGGAGAAGCCCGCCTGTACGATATGTCATTGCCTTCCACAGCTTCTATGAAAGCTTGACGTTAGGCGCACGGTAACAAACGGACAAAGTTGGCTCAAGAAGAGGGTGTGTTCGGGTGTTGCCTTTTCCATCGATTGTTCTACACCCGGATGCTGTCAGGGTCAAGCGCAGCTGCATTTCACAGAGCACCGTGTATCTGGCCAGGGTGTTGACGATGAATTAGGGTAATCTTATCTCGAGTGACGCAGGTTTCGCCGTTATCTTCCTCCATCTGGCTCTGATTGATAGCTTCACTCCACCGCGCAACGGGCGTCAACAGGTGAATCAGGCTCTTGGGTGGCCTTGTTCTTGGTCCTCTGTCAGTGCACGCGATAACTGACGGGATAGATCTCGCCTTCAGAAGGCGCCATGGGTCTGTGAGACGGCCGCCTCTCTCCAGCCCGCGCGTCTGCAGTAACAGTTGCATGTGGAACGTTGGCGAACCGTGGGGCGACGCTCCCGGCCAGGGAACAACACCGACCTCTGGCGTAGGCGCCCACACAACAGCGAACTCTGGCGTGTGCGCCTACGCAACAACGACCTCTGGCGTGTGCGGCTACACAACAGCGACCTCTGGCGTGTGTGCCTACACAACAACGACCTCTGGCGTGTGCGCCTCCACAACACCGACCTCTGGCGTGTGCGCCTACACAATACCGACCTCTGGCGTGTGCGCCTACACAACACCGACCTCTGGCGTGTGTGCCTACACAACAGCGACCTCTGGCGTGTCCGCCTACACAACTCCGCAATCAGCAAATTCAAGCTGGGAAACAGCTCGAATTTGCAGAGTAGTGGTTTGAATGAGCAAACAGAGTAGTGGTTTGAATCTAGCTCCCAGCTCATGTGGAAAACCAGTGTTACGGAGTTCAATTCTTGGCGGTGCCCATCGTTCTAGCTAGCGTTGCAGGCATTGCATTGCTAGCATTGCAGGCGTTGCAGGCTATGGACGCCACATAGCCACAGCGCCTGAGTGCGTTGCAAAGCCCAAATGACACAAGCAAGTAAATTTAAACTTGCTGCAAACATTTTGAGAGCGTCATGTAGCAACAGATTTCGGTTAGTTACACGGACACACACACACACGCATACACATACGTTACGCACGGCAGGGGTCTCATGTGGCCTTACAGGCGTTGACTAGCGTTTACCAGGCGGTTACGGTCAGGATGGTCAGCGGGGCGTATGTATACAACAGGTCCACCCCGATGGCCCGGCTCCGAAGGGCAGAGGTCTGCCCCAGAGGCCCAGAGCGAGGCTGTGACCTCAGGACAGGCCATAAGGCCAGTGGGCCGAAGGGTCTATTTGTTCAAATGCAGACGATGCTTTCCGTGAGCCCAGCGCGGTGGGCACTGGCTGGCACAGTGTAAATGTCGCGACAGGACAATTACTGCCAAGCTGTTGTCGCTGGTATCTCGTGGACGACAGGACGATTGCTGCCCAGTTGCTGCCCCTGTTGTCTCCTGGACGACAGCATGATTACTGCCCAGTTGCTGCTCCTGTTATTTCTTGGGCGACAGGACGTTTGCTGCCCAGTTGCTGCCTCTGTTATCTCCTGAGCGAGGGCTAGCCGATGAAATGCCGGCCGAGGCCAGGCTCCAGCTACAGATCTTCCACCTATAGTGGAAAGCTTTGCTTCGGAAAGCTTCGGAAAGAGAGAAAAAGGCTTCGGCACCGAGTCGGTTGAAGCATCAGGCGGTAAACAGCGGACATCAGGCGGCCATCAGGCGCTAAACAGCAGACATCAGGCGGCCATAAGGCGCTAAACAGCAGACATCAGGCGGACATCAGGCGATAAACAGCGGACATCAGGCGGCCATCAAGCGATAAACAGCGGACATCAGGCGGCCATCGGGCGATAAACAGCAGACATCAGGCGGCCATCAGGTGGTTAACAGCTGACATCAGGTGACTGTTCGACGTTGCGTGATGGTTTAGGCGTGTTGGATATGCCCCAGGGCCCGATACAAGCAGACACGAAACATTTCCCCGCCATTTCTCCATACGTCGCATGAGAATGTGGTGGCTTGGCACTA